GAATTACGCAGAAATTACATCTCCAATTACTCGTACCTTGAAGAAGGGTAAGCAATTTTCTTTTGATGAAGATGCTGTTGATGCCTTCAACCAATTAAAGTTAGCTCTTACTACAAGCCCTGTATTAAGCCATCCATTCTTTGACAAGCGATTTTACGTGCAGTGTGACGCGTCCATCCTAGGTGTCGGTGCAGTCTTGTACCAATTAGATGCTGAAGGTTTGGAACGACCCATCGCCTTTCACTCCGCTCAGTTATCCAAGGCTGAACGGAATTATAGCGTAACTGAGCGTGAGTGCTTAGCCGTTATTAGCGCCATCAAGAAGTTCAGGCCTTTTATTGAACTTATGCCGTTCACAGTGGTAACGGATCATAGCGCTCTAAAGTGGTTAATGGGTCAGAAGGACCTCAGTGGTCGACTGGCAAGATGGAGTCTCAAACTCCAAGGGTATAATTTTGATATACAGCACAGGAAAGGTACTCAGAATGTTGTCGCTGACACATTGTCCCGATTGCACATGGATGAGCTAAATATGTTTGTAGATGAGGGGCCCGTAATCGATTTAAATTCTCCTGAATTCAAGAGCGACGAATATTTGAAATTGATTGCGATGGTCAAGGAAAATCAAGACAGTCTTCTAGATTTGAAGATCTGCGATTCATTTGTGTACAAGAAAACTCTTCCATCCGATGGCAATCCAATTCATGAAAACTTCATATGGAAATTATGGATTCCTTCAGGTTTGACGAATACACTTATTGAAAAAGCGCATACTTCTACTGTGAAAAGCCATTGCGGTATTGGTAAGACTATCGCTGCGCTCAGGCAATATTTTTATTGGCCAAAAATGGCAAGGCAAATTCAAGAATTTATCAACGCTTGTGTTTTGTGTAAGGAGACGAAAGCTCCAAACAAAGTTCTGAGACCAAAAATGGGGTTTGAAACCGTAACTTGCAGACCATGGCAGAAGATCTTTATAGACTTCATAGGACCTTTTCCGAGATCGAAATCCGGTAACAGTTTTGTTTTCATTGTGCTAGATCACTTAACAAAATTCGTTTTGTTAAAGCCTTTGCCGAAAGCGAATACTAGAAGCGTAATAAAGTTTTTAGAAAGTGAAGTCTTTCATAAGTTTGGGGTTCCCCAAACAGTCCATTCCGACAACGGAAAGCAATTCACTTCTACCGAGTTCACAGATTTCTTAGAAAAATACGGATGCAAACCTATGAGAAATGCCGTGTATTCGCCACAGGCGAATGCATCGGAACGTGTGAACAGAACTATTATCTCGGCAATACGCGCTTATGTATCAGAAGATCAAAAGGATTGGGATCGTTTTCTATCGGCTATAGAATGTTCACTTCGGTCTACAATACACACTTCTACCGGATATTCACCGTATTTTTCATTATTTGGCTCACATATGGTCACGCACGCCAGCTATTACGATATAGTCGATAAACTTGGCGCTTTAGAAGACGGATCGATTGAAGTCGTACCGAAAAACAATGTATTGGAATTAGTTCGAAGCGCGATAAAGAAAAAACTACATGAATCATATGAGAAATCAGCGGCTCGGTATAATAGAAGATCTCGCGACGTCACGTTTAAACCCGGTCAAGAAATTCTAAGAAAAAACTTCGTGCAAAGTGACGCTTCCCGCCATTTCAATGCTAAACTTTGCCGGAAGTTCGTTAAGTGCCGTGTTGTTCAGAAATTAGGTAATTCCCTTTACGAAATTGAGGATTTACAGGGTAGGAGAATAGGAATCTACCACGCAAAAGACCTCCAACATATGGTACCCTCGAAGTAGACGCCCGGCTAGCTCAGTCGGTAGAACATGAGACTCTTAATCTCAGGGTCGCGGTTCTTCCCCACTCCAAGGATTATAGGTCGACTTCCCGAATTAGTTCTCCTTCGACAGGTCTCCGGTAACTCTTCGGGTTTGTTATGTCACCCTGTTGCCTACGTCATATTACACGAATCACCATTGCATGTGCAATACTGCACGGTGATCATATGTGCTGCTGACGTGTCAGGATTTGATTGGTTGATGCATTTTTGCAAATTAGCGATCCCTAAACGGACTAAAAATTGACTTTCGCGTCATTCTCGAGAGTAGCGGCCGGCGAGTTAAGACTGAATACGTAAACGAAAAGAGGAAAGGAGAAACAGAAAGAAAAATAAAGGAATTCTACCGGTGTTAGAGTGTTGTGTGAAAATAATAAAAAAAAAACACTAATAAAGAGTGAAGAATATACATTCAAATGGATGCACTCTAAAAATAAAAAAGTGTGTGTTTTCGTGAATTAATATTGAAATTGTTCAATATTATTCTTAACTGGTTGGATTAATTTGTGCAAACCCAACAACAGTGAAAAGCCGCCACCGAGGCGCTGGGACTGTACCAGTGAATTACACGTGATGGTGCACGCGCAGTTGGGTAACGGTACAGTGAGTTTTTTTATGATACAACTAGTTTTGTTCGGGTATCAGTAAGCCCACAAACATTCAATAGAAAAAAATAGTGCCGCCAAAATTTATTAACCCAGTTCAGACTTAGCCAACTCAAAATTCATCCGCCCACCAACTTTTTTACAAAAACCCAGTGCCATCAAAATCAAATAACCCAATTCATACCGAACAATCTCATAAACCAGTACACACCAACATTCCATAGACAAGCTAGTGCAATCAAAATATAATAATTCCGGTTCAGACCTAAACATTTCGCAAAACAGTTCACACATCAACCTTCCATCAAAGAAATTTTGCACCACCATCAAATAAACCAGCCGTACCTCAGTTATCCCATAGCCCAGTACATACACAGCATTACATAGACAAATTCATACATCATCATCAATAGCCTGAAATTCAACCCACATCAACTGCCGTTATTAATTCAACTACCGTTAGCCCACATTTCGTCTCCTCAACATACCACCCTCAGTCGCGCAGCCTTCTGTTGTTGGATCCATGGCAATTGTAAGTAAATCCGTAGAAGACCTAACAGGAATCAAATTTACTGTAGAGCGGATATTAGAAAGATGTCCTGAATTCTGATTGGCAGCAGTGTCCTCATACCTTTACTATTAATTAATTAATCATAATTGATACAGACGTTATTATACATACATTATTATTATACCTTATTATTATACAGTTTTACTCCATTTTATTATATAATTGTTGTACAATACGTCTCGGCGATCTCCTCATTTCAAAATTAACCATATTCGGATATTTTTTTAATACAGTCGTAGCGACGAACTCCTACATCACATCGAGCTCGATAGGTAAAGGAAATTTATTTCATTCTGAATTTTAAACCATTTTAACCCAAATATCTGGGGAAATCACCTGAGAGTATGTTCTAAATTCAGTCCTGGTATATTTCTTTAGTTTCCTAAAGCATATTTGTAAATCGTTCATTTATATTACATCATCCTAAGGTTTAAGAAAAACTTAATCTTGAATATTATTGAATCCAATTGTTATTAGATGTAACTACTTTAAGCTTATAGGGTATAAACTTTGAATAAACAATAAAAATGTTACCGAATTATAAATTGAAATGAAAGGTTTGAGCGATGAATTAATTGGTAAATAAAGAAAGGTAATGTAAAGGTTAATGGGCAGTCGTAATATAAGTATGGGGGTCCTCATGATTCAGAGGCCCATTAAGGGGGTTCAAGGTAGGAACCCATAGGGAGGGCAAAGGGTACCCAAACTCCACCTAGGGGTACCAGCAACAACAACATCAGCAACCAAATACAATCCAGCAACAACAACAATCAAAAACAATACAACAACATGTTTTAACGGTTTTCTTGTAAAATGATATAATGTTATTTTTGTACGTGCTCAAGTGTACCTCCTCGCCGCTAGAGTTTTAGCCGGTGCCAAATTAGCAAAATACCATTGACACCTTGGTAATGAATAGAGGTCATACTTGCCAAGCACATTACAGCTTTGCAACTAGTGTCGGGAAAAAGAGCTATGTGTCGCACTAAATTTAACAACATACCACCCATAGTCGAAATGGATGATGGCGTTGTTGTGGTCAACGACCAAACAGTACAAATTGAGAAAAGGGAGAGCCACCGCTGATTTTTAGCGGAACATACTTGTTATTGTTTGAAGAAGTCAAAGTCAATGGAACAAGTTATAAGAATCGAAATGGCTCAGTGTCCTTAACACCAGGAATACCTCGGGCGGCTGTCGTCAACCTGACGGAGGATATAGAGGTGCTAAATATCCCTTATCTGCACCATTCGAACTTAGAAAATTTGCAGCATATTCAAAATCTTCAGCGCAAAGTTGCTGAAAACCACTATATAAGTTTAACCATCTCTCTTTGTGGAGTCTTTTCTACATTTTTTGTGGTTAAACGAATTCTAAAAAAACGCAAATTAGCTGCCTTCAATAAATCTCTGCAAGCAGTAGTATCTCAAACAGCCACTGTATCCGGGGACGGCTCCAACTAAGGAGGGGAAGAGTTACCGAAATAAACATTCGTCGCTGAGAAATGCTTGATTAGCATTTTCCCACAATAAATGACTGTAAGTGCATCGTCGACACATTTTGAAAAAGCACCACCATGAAATGAAAGACAAAACTAAAACTCGTCAGTCTTCCATCGAAACTCAAACTTACAACAAGCAGCACCAACAAGTAAAGGAATTTGAGCAGCAACAACAACAATAACAACATTCAACAATCTTATTCTAATAATAATAATAATAACTAATACTTAAGAAACAACAACAATTAATATTATTCTAATAATTTTAGTGAAACACTTAATACTTAATAAATAATAATTAAATAAAGATAATCAAGAAACTAAAACAAATAACTTATATAAGACTCAAAGATATTTACTAGATTTTGGAGAAGACTATTTGCAAAAAAGCATAGAAGTTATATATTGTTGAAGTAGAAAGCTTATATATACACAGTCCTAAGTATTCATAGATTAAGAATTTGGGGATGGTTTAAAAACATATACTCACATATAGGACGATGCAACATTGTATGAAGTCATCAAAAAGTATTGTTCCCCTTCCAAACCGATCAAATTTTCGTATTAACATATCTATAATATTATCAGATAGACGGTAGCCAAAAGACGTTAGTGCTGTCTTTAATTCTGCCCTGTCAATGTTTCCAGAATTGTCACGATCAAACGATCGAAAACAATTTTGCCAATCGGTTACATATTTCCAAAGGGATCCAAAATCTTGAAATGAAACAGTTCCTCTGTTTTCACGATCAAACATTCCAATCATCAGACGGACCGTTTCTGGATTAAATGGACTCCAAGTTCCATTTGAAAGAGCCACTTGCAATTCGTCAGCAGATATATACCCACTTCGATCTTTATCCACACTAACAAAGAAAAAACATATTTAGCATTTAAACTAGGATACTAAGATTACTTCTTACCGGGAAAATACATCCCACAAAAATTGCTGGTCAGGCATTTGCGACTGATTCATAAACGACATTTTATCTTGATAGGAACAATATATTAATAATAAAAAGATTCGCTAACTAGTTCAGATGAACGATTTAGTTGAAAGTAGAGTTGGGTAGTTTCGGAACGAATTAGTTCATTGGAACTATTCCGAGAAAGGAGCGATCGGAACTTGTTCCAGCTCATAAAAATTTGAAGATGTGCTATGTCCTTACACTTAATCGCTCTAGTACAGTACCCATAAGCGTTTGAATAAAAAATTATTAAAAATATTCCAAACGAATCGATGGTTAATCAAAACACTTTTCCCATCAAATGTGTGCTAATTACGTGACCGGCACTGCATATAAACATACGTTCATCAATTTATTATTGTGTAAATAGTAAAATTATTTTATTTATTTTAAAAATATATTTGGTTCTTATAGTCCTACAGTTTTAAATTTTTTCTTCCATTAAAAAATCAACACGACTTTTATTTACTGTTGTTGTTAAGTTGTATTTTCCTTTTTATGTGTAAATTCAAACTAATTTGGATACGTATACGTCGTTTTTGAGTTCCTCGGGTATCTGACATATTCTCGGAACAGTTTTATTGACAAATTTACTTTTCCGTGCGATTTTTTTTTTCAAGTGAACTACTTTTTGCGCAACTTTTTAAAAATTCCCAGCGGTAACACTGCTTGGAATTCTTCGTTCACTTATCTAGTGTTTACAAACGACATTTTGAGTAGACAATAACGAAGCCAAAACCATAGTATGAGTTTGCGTTGATGCAATAAATGGAAATAAAAACACAAGTGGTTAGAATTTTTTACCTAACGTAGATTTGGTTGTTTATTGATAATTGTTCGTGGAACAATATAAAATTACCTTTACTACAGGATGAAGAGGTTGATGCTTTTTGGTCGTGAACCAAAGAACGAGTGTTAATTAAAAGCTAAGATGTCACAAAGCGGCGCTTTGACATAGCAACTCGTTATATTTTGCTACTACCTTTTGTCTTTAGTACGAAATACTCAAAGACGTATATAAAGGTAGTGAACAAGATATAACAATGGATTAGAATTTACTTTAATTCAAATGAAATTATATTTCAAATTAAACATTGCCGCCCGCGTTGCAAATTCTTGCCATGTTGCAAAATTTTGTTTTATACTTTTTTCAAAAAACATTTTATGGCTAAAGTTTTGCTCGACGAGCAGGATCGTGCAATGTCTCGTCAAGATCTGATCCGTTAGCTTTTTTATAATCAAAAGACTCGCCGAGTCTTGCGGCTAGGCAATTGAAGATTGCACATCGCTTGATGATGAAATGCTACATGGAAACCAGGGCTAGAATAAGTTTTGTGGCTTTATTCTTGTTTTGAACCTCTGGGCCTAGTATCATGCTGACCGTCGCAGCTTCGTTGAACCGAGAATCGGCAAGTTGCAAGCCAGCATGATATTCTTTATGCCGCACGGACGTGGACTCCGACGGAGCAACGATATGTCCCAAACCAATGAATCTCGCTGAGAGCATTTGCGTAACGTCGCAGGGACTTGGAGCCGAAGGCAATGATGAGTTAACGGACGGACGTTTAGAGGTTGATTTTGTTGGAACAACATTATGCATGCTCGAAAGAGGTGGCGACACCACCGTTTCTCCTGAAGGAACTTCAGGGACCGTCGAAGACGGACTTTAAATTATTTTTCCTCCGATGGAGAAGCGGCTTCATAAGATCCCGAAGGGCATGGACTCGCTGGCGATGGGGACACCTGTGAGGTTGAAGTCCCTTTCCTCATCGAACATGAGGACGTCGTCTTCAATATCGTACGGCAGCCATCGTACCTAAATTTTCCATCTTCTGTGAAAATAGAGAGATGTGATACCGAAACGATGAGGATTATAATTAATAAATGTATGGCCAGAATGACCAGTAAAGACCGTAGGTCGTTTTGTAATTATCATAGTCCCATAACGCGCGACTCTATCGCGACCATCAATGGTCATTTTTCATTAAAAAGAAATAGGTGGCAAAAGACGACTCGAGATATGGACTATGATAATTATTTGCGCAACACCTCTACTATTCGACATTATATCCACGATGTGGAAGTATTTGTAATTACGAAAGATGCATAACATCAGTGTATTATATTTGATTTCATAATCCTGCAAAAGGATTGTGGGATTTAGAATAAATTATGGGAGGTCGTAAACCTGTAGGACAATTTTGAGACATTTGCGTGACAAATGAATAAAAGAAATTGAAAGTGACCAGATGTGTTATTGAATATGTATGACAGAAGTGGACTGTATATGTTTATTGAAACTTGCTCGTGAAGCGTGTACATTTTATTAGAACAGTAACATTAGTCAACTGGGATGATGTCCCGGAATGTAGATCGTAGAATCTACATTTGCGTAGCGTGTATGTAGGGTACAATGTAGGCGATGTTATCTTCAAGTTTTCCGTGAGAAAACTTACCTAGCACAATTATTTTAGTTACTATCGACACATATGTTACCCTAAAGAGAAGGACGTAAGTAGGAAGAGGGCATTGGACCAGTAATGATCCAACCGAAAATCTGGGCTATTAGCTATTATTAGAATGTAGGTGTTCGGTTCGTTCCAGCATTCGTGAAATGTGGACGAACTTTTTTGATGTCAACAATTGTAATTGAAAATCGACATATAAACGAAAATGTTCAATAAAAATTAGATAATAGCACGTGATGCTGTAAATATAATGTTTAAAATACACTGTATATAGAAACAGTCGTGAATTTTTATATTTATTGTATCGTGGATACAGTAAAAATATGGTTTAACGTAATTAAGCAAAAAGTTAGAAATTTTAAGAAAAAATATTAAAATTTCACTAAAATTTCTCTCAGTGTATTTAATTTTTCGTAAAGTATTTGCAGTGTATCGTATAATACACGTCAAAAATGGCAATGTATCGAAGATAACAATTGCCAATAAATATGTAAATTTTTCCGATAAATGTAATAGGTAATATTATATGTGAAATTAATATATTTGTATAAATATTGCCAAATATAGGGTGCACTATGTCGAAAACAGAATTTAAAATTATTTTTAGTTGATATCCGAAGGATTCAACTCGAAAAATATCCGAAAACGGCACAAAAATATTTTTCTAAATATTTATCCAATTTATTCGGGCGTGTGAACACCCCTAAGGAAACTGATCATATGTTTCCAATAATATGTCACATGTGATAGTGACGGGTGGCAACAATCAGCAGAGATGACAATCGCTCTCTCATGTGATGTTGTTATTGTTTTTGTTTGTCTTTGTTGTTTGGCAAACAAGAAGAAGAATTTAAGAGGATGAACACAACAACGAATTTAATGTAAATAATGAAAGAAAATGTGTCAGTCGCTATTCAACAGCTGTTGATGCTAGACTGCGCTTATTTTCCTTTCGGTTTTTTTGTGTTGCATTGCAATTACAACAAACACATATATTTGTTTTTGTTTACAATCGACATTTTGAGTTTTTTGCACTGTGTCTTCCATTTTTTTTTAACGAAATTTTGGAAATAAAGAACTTTTGAAAGTCTTTAATGATGGATGCGGACGGGGAGCCGCCCCCAAAACCCAAACCAGTTTGGGATCCTAATAAAAGCCGGGCAAATTTAATGTCCAATCAAAATAAAAAATTTATAAACAATAATGGTGAACCCATCCAAAATACAAATGCTTCGCAAGCTTCATCTAATGATTCTGATTGTTCAGCAAAAATTGAATACAATTATAATGCATTGGGTACTAATATCCTTTATCCTCAATATCACCCCGGTCCATTTTACGTCATGGTTAAGTCTGATAAACCTATAAGTTCCAGGAGGAAGAACTGTGAACTACACCTCTATGCTCTTTTTCAATGAATTAATATCCCCGATACATATGTTTGCAAAAACGTTGGCTACAACACTTTTCGCTTAACTTTTAACAATTGTGATGCAGCAAACAAATTTGTACAAAATGGAAGATTACAAGAAGTTGGTTTAAAAGCAGAAATTCCTGAGCGTTTTGTTCAAAGGTTTTTTGTTATTAGAAATGTGCCGAAGTCTATTGACGGTATAACAATTAAGAAATCTATTGAAGAGAATAATGACATCGATGTCATCTCTGTATATAGATTTACTAGGAGGTGTGAGAATAACTCAGTGGAAGAAACTGAAACCATCAAGGTGGGATTGATCAGTGATGGCATTCCTAAATTTTTGTATATGTGTAGCACCAGAATCAAGCCAGATTTGTATGTTCCACAATTACGTCTCTGCAAAAACAGTGGCATCTCGGCCACATCGCTGTGCGCTGTAGATCCGACAAACGGTGTATTGAATGCAATAAACCCTTAATTTGTCCAAACCAATGCAAAGAGCAAAAATGTAACGATTGTCTATCGACTACCAAGTGCACCGAACCATGTATCTCTCCTAAATGCATTTTATGTAACGGTACTGATCACAAAGCCACGGATACGGATAAATGTTCAAAATGGAAAGCAGAGAAGAACGTAAGAGTAATAATGACTCTCATCAATTTAAGTAAGAAGGAAGTCCTAGAAAAATATCCTGAGACCGAAAACTACTACAGCGTCTTGGCAGATCATGAGTACGATTCCGATTTTCCCCAATTGAATAAAAAACAAAAGTACAAAAAAAGAGGTGTTAATGAGGAGATTAACAGAAGAATTACAAAAATAAAATATAGTAAAATTGCTGCACCTCGTGTAAAAAATAACCATCCAGTTGGTAATCCCATAAATATTATCCCTTCAGCTCCTGTCTATGAGCAGTCTTCATCTTCCAGAGTAACAGATCTGGAAAAAACAATGTCATTATTTACAAATCAAATGGTTCAGCTACTCACATCATTAAACTGCACAGAAGGCTTAGACATCCTTGAAAATGTCAGGAAATCAGTTTTACCATGCTCTGTAAAGAATTCAAAAAATACTATAAGTGAAAACGATATAGATCAAGATGTCTCTACGACACCAATTTTTGTTT